TTCATATATACATTGGGTTTTACATGATCTCAAAAAAATTATTATTTTATGCATTTAGAAGTTATTAAGTTAGTACACTTGTTCAAGTCGAGATCGAATAATTTTATTATTTAAGCGAGATTATTAATTTATCGAAACTTTACTATAGAATTAATGAATGCATGGTAAATTAAAATCCTTGATAATGGTTTTTAAATTCATAGTTATTGTACTCTCGATCATTGACTCAAAATAGAGGGTTGTTGATTCGCTAATTAATCATGGGGTCCCTAGCTCAACCTTCACTTGAATTCTTAGTTCTTATTGCCTCGCTGATTAATTGTTTGAATTCGAAGTTCTTATTTACTTCGGCGGGATGAATCATATCTATGGATCTTGGAGTAAATGTAATAACTATGAATGGTCATTTTCGAGAGAGGGTAGAAAAATAAGGGTAACATAAAAATTATAGAAAGCAAATCCCATTATAATATTTGATTAAGATAAATCAAAATGTTCTATATCTTGAAAAAAAAAAAAAAAAGAAGAGTTTTTTCAGACATTCATCGATAGTGAAATATGTGTAAGATAGATTAAGGCTTGTTCTTAGTTTCTCCGAGTCGTGATGAAAATGATTTTTTCAATGGAGTAAGTACTTAAAAACGTCGATTTACTTCTTAAAGACTCATCTCAACAGATAAGTCAATACAAGTTCATGATGCCAATACACTTCCAAAGTCGAATTTCAAACTACAAAGACAAATAAATTTCCACTTTTTTTTATGTGTCTTGGACCGAGTGGCATACTACTATTTGGGTTGTTACATTAGATTAATTGTTATTATTAGTTTTGATGAATTATGGCTTAATTCAATATATATTTCATTTTTTAGAAGAAATTCATTGCAAAACGATGAAATTTGACAAAAGAAGCGAAAATGGGCTAAAATGGACAAAAGATAGGCAAATGACCGAAATGATTGAAAAAGGACCAAAATGTACACTATGGTAAGGGTAGGGACCAAATTGCAAAAAAGGCCTAAAATATCCTTTTTACGTGCTCAAGCTCCAATATTTCCAAACCCGACGCCAATATGGCCTAGGGATGAGTTCGCGCCACATTACTATGCATGCACATGGTTCAATTCTGGGTTGATGTGCTGGTTTCCTTTCACGAATTAGACTCCATTTGCTATGAAATCCTAGCATCTATTTAACCTAATGGAGGTTGCCAAAGACCTGTGACACGACATTAGAGCGCAAAGAAGAGGTCTAGCATGAGACTACAAGGGAATAACAATAAGAATTGATGATCCAAAGCTCGGAATCCAAGATCAAGACCAAGAAATTGATTCTTCAACAAGCATATTATATTGTTCTACATTCAGGGTGATGTCTTTTCAATATTCTTTGTGTAATTCATATCAAAATATGCTAGGCTGATTTCTCCCTTGCATTGGATGAAGATGAATCATTTGTTTATTTATTTTTAATTCAAAGATAAGTAATTTAGTAATTCTCGTGTTTCTCAATTAATCCTACATTCACGTTGCATTATTTAATTGATTGACTATCAATTAGGTAATTTGTTGTTTGTTGTATTGTTTGAAGACTCACAATATGTTTAGAAAATTGCATGATTAACGCATGGATAATAGATATTATGAATAACATGTGTCAATGTATGATCTTCTTGAAAATTGTATGTTTGAATGCATTCTATTCATATGAATTAGGACCTGAAATACAATCGGGTCATGTTTATAATAGACTAAACTTATCTTCAAAAAGAAAGTTGAATATAATAGAATCATCAGTTGTCGTGAATAAATGAATATAACAAAATTACGTAGTTGAGAATTTAAAATAGATAACAATAGACTGATTCATAAATCCAATATAAATTTTCCGTATAAATTTACAAACCAACATTTTTACATGATAGATAGAATAATTAAAACAAATCTCTTTGTCGCATACTTTGAATCTGATAAGACACTTTCGTACTTTGATTGAAATTTATTCGTCGTAGGATGATACACGTAACTCATCATATATTACTTATTAACGATCTCGTCGCTTGCAAAATTCATCCAAACAAGTTTTTACGCCATTGTCAGAAAAATAAAGTGTTTAATTCAAGTTTATTATTTTATATTGGATTCAAAAAATTTTTTTAGCTATTTTTGGCTATTAATCACATGCCTAGCCCCTATTAGGTATAGATTAAAATCAAATTTTTAGTAGATTTTGATAAAAGTTGATGAAATGTGTGGTTGAAAAGTAGCATGTCCGATAATATGTACGGTTAAAATTAATTGTTGAGTTTGACTTGAGATTTTAATTGAATTTTAATCCAAACCAAAGAGGGGCTAATCTCTCTTTTGTTTGTTTCTCTTTTTAGGTGCTATCTAGTAGTTTGTGCAAGATTCCAATGAAATCGAGCTCCTACTGTTGAATTTCGAAATTGATAGAACTTTTAGACAAAACAGAAAAGAGCAACAAATAGCAAGAGAAGGTAAAAAGAGATGGCAAAAAATGAAAATGAAAATCAAGTTTGATTACTACCAAAACAGCAAGCATATTCAGTTTCGATAAAAACAATTCCCAACGATGGCGAAGTATTAGTATGGGATTACATAATTTCCCTTCCAGCTCTCTTGCAACCAGCTACTATTTATTTTTTCTTTCAAGCAGACTAACTACCATCATTGACTAGATTTTATCAATCTATTCCAGAATCATCAAGACATCAGGTTCTTCGGCAAAGGAATTGAGAATTCACATGAGCATATTCAAGCTTTCATGATGCTTTGTGAGGTCATTAGCCATCAAGAAATATCCATCGATGCTTTCCGAATGCATCTATTCCCTTATGTCTTGAAGGATAGCGTGAGTGATTGATTGCATTCTCTATCTGTTGAAAGAAATGTTTCTTGGAATGATATGGTGTGAAAATTTACAATAAAATTCTTCCCGCCGTCTCAAGTTTATAAAATCGGGAATGAGATATATACTTTCAAGAAAAAGGATCACGAGAGCTATCCAAAAGCACGGTAATGATTCAAAGACTATTTCAGGAAGTATTCTAACTTTGACATTCCTAAACAGGCCCAAGCCTACATTGTCTATTCAGGCTTGAATTTTGAATACTGTAACATGGCAGATGACTCAATAGAGGGTCAATAATGGACCTGTCCATAGATAAAGCACATAAGCTATATGCAATAATAGTAGAAAATCAGTTTATGTGGCCACCTGACTGAAAAAACTTGTAGGGATGCATAATATTAATGGAATAACATCTTTATTTAGCCCGGATTGGGGTATTGACAAAGAAGTAAGACAAACTCACTCAAATAGTGCACATGGTGCAACATCCTACACAAGTTTGTAAAGGATGCGGGGTAAATCATACAACTGTACGTTGTTCTCTAGCTTCCATTCATACATATCAGTCTTAAAAGGCACAATATGTGCGGAATTATCAAAGACAACATAATAGCCCTTACTCCAATACATATAATCCAGGTTGAAAAAATCATCCAAAATTCTCCTGGGCTGATAAATCCTGTTATGGGTGGCACACACGCTCCACCTATAAGTTTTAGGGTTTTGCATTTTAGTCCTCGATTTTGATTCATTGTTTGGCTTGAGTCTATTTTTCGTGTAATTCTAATTCAATGCGATTGACTCAATATGATCTTCAACTTCGTTTTGTAATTTGAATCAACTATTGGATACTTGTATTTTGGTCCCCCCAAACTTTGAATTTTGTCCATTTTAGCCAATTGTTCGTTCATTTTTTTTAAATTTAACTTTCAATCATTGAGTTTTACCTAACAAATGAAATATACAGAAGAATATGTTATAATTAATCACAAGAAATCCTAAATATCTATATTTACATGCCCAAATAAGTGTATAAAATACAATTATCACAGACATTTCTTGGGGATCGGGCATGCGTTAGTAGATCTTGAAAATTTTGAGATAATCTTGAAGATGGAAGACAAACAGCAAAGCTTCACAATGAATATTGAACTCAAGCAACATGTCTACCTTGAGAATTGCAAATAAATGACCATGTGGAAAATGATAATTATGGAAGTCACTACAAAAAAAAGAGTTTGGTGGATTAGTTAGAACAATTAAGGACCACTGTAAAAATTTTGAAATTTGGAAGACCAAAGATGAATCAAGGAACATCTGACAATGCAACTATTGCAAGGCTGAACACTCCATTTTCAATCCACTATGAATAGCTAAAACAATAAAG